AGTAAATTACTATGTAGTGTAGAAGTGTGTGGTAGTGTAATATACAATGTAGGTGTAACTTAATGAATGTAATGTAATTATAAAAATAAATAAATTAAAAAAAAAATGAACCAATTGTTGCGTTATGTTATAAATGAATTTTTATCATACGAACTGATTAACGAGCGTTGGAGTACTAAATGTGCTTTGAGTGAACTGGTTGTTTTCTTAATTTATTTTAACAGGTAAATCACAAACTTCCGAATCACGATGAAACTCATTCCTGGTTGCGGCCTTTTCTTCCTGCTACTGTCAGTGTTAGTCACTAAGGAGACTGAGGCCCTCGGACCCTTTGTACTTTTTAGGCTGCGTCAGTTAGCTGTTCGGCAAGGTTGGAAACTGAGGGAAATGTCCTTTTACTCCAAGTGCAACACAGAGGATGTACCCCCCGGGATGAAATGTCCAAAAAATGTCTTTGGAATTGGTACGAACCAGGGCCAAGCCAAGTTTACGGCGAAACTTTACGCAACTATGTTCGGGTACAAAGAATGTGACGAATACGTTGGGGAGTGTAATACCTTTAAATTTATGAAAGGACCTAGATTACCTCAAAAAGTAGGAAAGTAATTTAAAAGTTCTAAGACAACCAATGACAATAATAGTGATAATATATAATGATAAACCTTTAATTTTGAAACCGTGCCATAGAAAATACAGCCAATCAGAATACAGGAAAGCCGTTGTATATTCGACGGTACTACATCCAACCTTCCCATCATGCGCCGCGCCTGTGTCGCATTGATTGTATTGCCCACTGTGTTTTCTATGGCATGGGATAAAATAACTATTTAATGCTCTCCTGTGGTATAATATGGAATATCCCACTTGTCACTAGTATTTTCTTGGTATACACACTGGCCGAAAGGCTCGTGTGAATACCAAGAAAACGCAAGTGATTCGTGGGGTATTCCATGTTATACCACTCGAAAATGTTGCATACCTAGTACACATAGAACTTATACATCACTGATCTAAGCGCTTTACAGGGATAAAAAGCATAGAATATTCAAATGATACTTTAAGACGAAAATTAAAACTACCTAAAATTAATGCTGGCTGAATTACTGATTATTAATGTCAATTGAACTTAATATATACATAGATTAAAACTACTACGAAATTAAAACTAATTAAAAGTAAAACTGATACTTGATGAATTAGAACTTTGAATATGCCTTAGCAAAATACGTGGCAACCAGGACGGGGGAGGCTTTTTGACAAGGTGTGATGAGCGTCTTTGCCGTGCGCAAACTTGTAGTAACGTGTTTGAGTCACGGTCCTTTGTAATCAAACTATACTAGTCAAGTGAGGAGTTAATTAAGAATAAAGAAGATTGAAAATGGAAATTTTGTTCGCAGTTGTGCTGTATTTTTAAAGTAGGAAATTATAGATCAGTTGGAGTGAAGTCTTAAAAAAGAAGCGCAAAAATGGAGAGACTTTCACTATAATACAATATGATGCAATGCAATGCAATGCAATACATATACAATACATTACAATATACAATACAACAACGAAGCATCAGCGAATTCCAATCCATCATGATCAGGGAAAGAAAATTGATAGTTTCTCGTCCTCTACTTTACTTACAAAGCTTTGGCCATTTAACCAGGGAGGGATGCATTTTGAGAGCGTTCTTGAAGAGCGTTAGTGTTACGATCCCTTGACTATAATCTAAACAACATTCATCCCTTCTCAGCTACAAAAAGTTTACGTACAGATCGAGTCACATGATGACGATGATCGTTAAACGAACGAAACATCAGTCTTGTCACAAACCGGAAGTAGTTGTGCATTTTTGAAAACGGAGAGAGCCACATAACAAATGTAATTAACATCGAGCACAGAGTTCCGTTGGATAACCTTGTTATGGCTTCAGCAAAGTTTTCTCAGATTCTGCGAGGGCAGAACGCCGGAAAAATTTCGAAACGGAAATTTTTCTCTGAAAACGCATCAAAGGTTTTCTGTCCACGCTAAGCCGGAGAAATTTGAAAACGCAAGCTTCGTTTCCAAAATGTTTTCCATCCACACTAACACGTTTTCAAATTCCTCCGATTGAAGAGCGTTTTCGAAAAGTCCCGTTTACTGTGCACAATTCTCTGGATCAGTGGTGAAGGTAAGGCTAACCGTAGAATAAAATTGGCGTTTTCAAATTTCTTCGGATCGGCGTAATGTGGACGGGCCTAAATGGACCTTACATATAAGCGACGTCGTCGGCGAGGACGACGCCTATTAGAAAAGGCATTTAATATAATTTACTTTAGAATTTCGAAGTAATCTAGATTTATTCACAGTGTCTGTGCGTAAAAAAAAAAAAAAAATTAGCCTTACTGAATTTGCTACGAATGCGCTCAGTTCCAAAAGAAAGCCGAAAAATTAGCCAAAGTAGATAAAGGAAACCGACAACCCAATGAACCAATTAAAATACATAGTAAATACACGAAGCCGACGTGAAGCGCAGGAAAAAGTGTGGAAGCGAGTTGTGATTGGGTCAAAAAAATGGCGCGAGTTGTGAAGCACAATAATGCAAACCAATTAGGCACTTTCAGTTTTGCGACCCAAGAGAAAGCAGTATTAGGTGAGAATAAGGTAATCAACTGATTACTCATCAATCACTCATTGATTACTCATTGAATTCAATGATGTCAGTCAAGTTTGGAAAGAGTGATCTATCGTTTCTAAATTGAGAAACTGTGTTCTGCTGCGTTGAAGGGCGAAGGTAAGGGCGACGGCGACGCCGAGGACGACGCCTGATCAAAAATGAATTTATATTTTAACTATGAATTTCTTAATTGCCTAGATCTCTTCAGTATTTCTATGGCCCTAAAAACTTGCTCAGGTTAAATACGTGATGATAGCGTTCATATTCCAAATGGAAATAGGAAAATTAGCCGTCATCGTCAGTTCGCGTTCCTCAGATTAGGCAGAACTTGGTCATTTCACGTCGTCGTTGTTTCGCAGAGGACGGCTACGAGGTATACGAAGATTTACAACGCACATGCATAGCCATTGTTTTGCTCGTTAAACCTTTTGTTTGNTTTGTTTTTTAATTCTTTTTAACAGGTAAATCACAAACTTCTGAGTCACGATGAAATTTCTTCCTGGTTGCAGTCTTACCTTCCTGCTGTTGTCAGTGTTAATCCCTAAGGATATTGAGGCCCTCGCGCCCCTTATAATGACTAGGCTTGGTCAGATGGCAGCTCGGAAGGGCTGGACACTGGCGAAAATGACCTATTACGCTCAGTGCACCACAGTGAATGATCCCCCCGATATGAACTGTCCATCAGAAGTCTTTGGAATTGGTATGAACCCGAGCCAAGCGAAGTTAATGTCGAGAATGTACGCATCTATGTTCGGGAACAAAGCATGTGCACAATTCGTTGGGGAGTGTGTTACCCATAAATTCTTGAAAGGAGTTGTTCAAATTGTTAAAAAATTACCTGGAATACTAGGAAAGTAAGCTAAAAGTTCCCAGACAACAAAGAATAATAAAAGTGATAATAATAGTGATAACCCTTTATATAGTGCTGATACATCACTGATCTAAAACCAATACTAGATGAATAAGAACTTTCAATATACCTTGCAAAACTGGTGTGCATTTCACTACAATAGATCGTTTTTAGTGTCACGCAATTAAGAAATAAATCGAAAACAGTAGGCCTGTGCGTTTCCCCAAACTTCACGTATTCGTCGAAATGTTTCGCAGAAATTGAAAGATCTCGGAAAACGTCATGTTGGTGCAGTGCATCCGTGG